AGCTTCCTGGTGATTCCATTGAGTCACCAAGATTAAAAGCTACTGCTTGTGACTTTACCTTCCCACCCTGCCCCCAGCCTTCTGCTGCCTCCCTTTGACCCACCTCCCTCATTTCTGGTTGCTGCTAATCTTTTCCCCACTATAGGCTCACTAGCCCCAGGGTCTGGCAAGACAGTGTGGCTGTTAGTACTTTTGTTTCAGATCTCAGAAATAACTCCTTTCCCCTCCTGGGTAAGGAAGCTGGGTAATGTGGCATTGTACTTGGCAATGACTGGAACTTCCCCACTCTCCACTTTGGTCTCATTCCATTACCACCTCCGGCCCAGGGCCGGTCCAGAGCGGGGTGGCAGGGGCTGGGGTGGGGTGGGCTAATCTTGTGCGGCTCTCCTCTACCCCTCCTCTCCCACACTCACATGTCTGGCTCATTCTGGCCTCACAGGCTTTGCCGCCACTGTTTTGCGCCTGGCAAAGAGGGCTCGGCAGCCCCTCTTGGGTCCTCACGGTCACCCTTGCGCACCGACGTCCTTATAGCCCCAGAGCCCCAGCTCAGCCCTCGCCCCATAGAAGGAATGACCGGAGTAACCTGAACTTGGTTGCAAAACAAGATGTGGGAAACATGGCTCTGGTCTGGCCTTCTCCAAACTTCCGGGGGTCATAGCAGGCATGGGCAGGCTGAGGGAAGTGGCACAGAGTCTCCTGCATGTTCCCCAGTTGTCCAGCCCTACATCATCTCCCCACCCCCCCTACCCCCCGTGGGTCCTCAGTTGCCAAGGGCAGGGGTGGCCTGTGAGGTGGGGGGTCTGGCAGAGGACCGGACGGGAGACGGGTTCGGGCCATGGGGTAGACGGCACACCTGAGTGAGGCTGGGAGCAGGCAAGGAGGTGAACACAGGGCACCGCCCCAGAGCCAGTACTGTGGTGTTAATAGTGTAAGCTCCCGGGTTTGCCTGCCAGCGTTCATATTCTGACTCTGCTATCGTGGGCCATGCACCCCAGCGCCTCTGGTTCCTCACCAGGAAAAAGGGGGTAGTGATGGTGTCTGTCTTCTGAATGAGGCCATGGGAGAGAAGGCTTATGACGCGCTTAGCACGGGGCTTGGGATATAGTAATCACTCAGCAAGTGCAGCTGTGACAACCGTGAGGGTTAGGGCCACAGCACCCTCCCTGTTCCTGACCTCCGGGAGCTCCAGCCCACTCCTCATTGTCATGGTCCCCTCCCTCTGGGGCTTCAGGCTCCTCGGGGATCCGTGGGAAGGTGGGATCTGGAAAGACGTGCTCCCTTGTCCTCTGGGGTGGGGGCTGCAGTTCCAGATTCGAGGGCCAGGCTACTTGGTGGGGTTCTGGCCATGGCACCGAGGCATGGCCTCTGACCATGGCTCAGGCCTCGGCACTGATGAGCTCTGGCCTTGCAGACCCTGGCCTGTATCCGCCCAGAAGGAAGAGGGTCAGAGGGCAGGTCGTCACCTATCCTCCCCCAGCAGTTCCAGAACCAGCTGGTCCACGTAGGGGTTAGGGAACAGGCAGGACTCAGGTGAGGAATTGAATGAAGTGTGTGTGTTGGGGGGTGGCGAGTGCCTGCAGTCAGGGAGGAGGAGAACTCCTTTGGTCTAGATGGATCCAAACGGCCTTTTTCTGAAAAGCAGACAAAAAGAAGACGTTTCCAAACCAGACGTAGTCACATCCCAATCCGGTTAAACAACAAAATCTCCAGGGGTACCTGGAGGCTGCAGTGTGAGTGTATGATTGGGTCTGGGGGCGGGGGAGGGGTCTGGGAGACACATCAGTGAGCAGCAGTGGCCTTGAGGATCACTACAAAGGTGCCGTTTGTCACTTTGCCATGTTCCACCTACATTGCTGGCTCTGTGGATGGTCCGTGACGTGAGTGGCAGGCGTTAGTTAGCTGAAGAAGAGACTTCATATTCCCTCCCATTTCACTCCCTCCCTCCATTTGCTAAAACTTCTCTTTTTCCTGCTTTTCCTTCTTTCTCACGGTCCTCTTCACAGGCCAGTGCTCCAGCCTCCAGTCTGGTCACTGGGGCTGGGTCCTGGGGCGTGGACCCCCCACCCCTGCACCCCCCCCAGCTACGTGCTTCCTCCTGCAGCTAGGGGGAGCCCTTCCCCCTCGCTGGACACGGGTCTGTAGCCGCAGCCCAGGCCCAGGCTCTGTGGGCCTCCTCCACCTCCTTTCCCCCTCTGAGTCTGAAACACAGGCTCTGCGGCCCCGAGAACTTGGATCTTTATACATGCTGCCTCTGCAAAGCTCTTAGTGGGTAAAGAGCCACTATCCTGGCTCCAGGAACAAAGAGTGGGCTGGGGGTCACTCAAGGTGGGCAGAGAGGGGAGAACGAACCACCTCTGGAGAGAGAGAGAGAGAGAGAGAGAGAGAGAGAGAGAATCTCAAGCAGGTTCCATACTCAGCGCGGAGCCCAATGAGGGCACAATCCCACAACCCTGGGATTATGACCTGAGCCAAAATCCAGAGTCAGGCATTCAACTGGCTGAGCCAGCCAGATGCCCCAGGCTCTAGGGTTCCAGAGCTTCCCACAGTTCTGTCTCTGGTCTGGACCTTACTAAGAAAAAAATAACACAGGATGATAAAGTGATAAACGAAGTGAGGAGAAGCCTGGGCCGTCTCTATGATATGCATAGCAGCACAGTGGGCCGATTCTAATCCACACCCCACCGGCCAGGGGTGCTGCAGATGAGCCGAGAAAAGTCCGCTCTTCTAAGATCTTTACTTCCATCGCTACATAGCCTGGAATTTATCTGACCCTGGGTCAGTTCAGGGTTGGGACTTAATCCAGGTCATGTGTAACACCAACAGAGGTTTCAAACGTGCTCCCAGTAGGCCAGAGGTTCCACAGGGAATGACGCGAGGGTCGAGGAGGGGCCTGAGGGAGATCACAGGGAGGAGGGCCCTGGACTCCCCACCCAAACCTCAAACACTGGGCTCCTGAGGAAAATTGTATAACGGTGGTCTTAAAAACACATGCTTTTATTTTTTTTTTTAATTTTTTTTAATGTTTATTTATTTTTGAGACAGAGAGAGACAGAGCATGAATGGGGGAGGGGCAGAGAGAGAGGGAGACACAGAATCGGAAGCAGGCTCCAGGCTCTGAGCCATCAGCCCAGAGCCTGACGCGGGGCTCGAACTCGCGGACTGTGAGATCGTGACCTGAGCTGAAGTCGGACGCTCAACCGACTGAGCCACCCAGGTGCCCCAAAACACATGCTTTTAAAAACAGGTTTGAAAACCATCAGCCTAGAGAGTGACTTCTTGAGTATTTTGGTTTTGGAATAGATGTCTGGCATTGTGTATACGTCTGAGCCAACAATCATAGGCCAACTAATGCTACCAGGCCAAAGGACGTGTTAGGAACAGCACATCTCCTGTGTTTATGGACTCTCCCCAAGGTCACGGTTCGCGCGCCGAAATGTCTCTTACTCTGGTTCTTTGGTAAAATGAAAACACAGTTTTGTTTCTGGAGAACTGTATTCCATGCAGGAACCCTTACTTAAATAACCTGTCTTGGGGACATAAACCCAAGAAGCGTAGTACATGAACTTACCCATGTGCCTTTTTGCCCGGCAAGCACTGGCTCTTTGGTCATGCAGAAAAGACGCTGGTGGGGGAACAGGGCCGCACTCTTCAGCAACACCCCCCACCCCCAGAAGACATACGGCAGCCAAGAGACTCAGAGCCAGCCATGGATGGGGATTGTCACTTGAGGGGAAGGAGACCAGACATTAGTTGGGGACGTAGTGCCTTTTGAGTGACGGTCACTGAGAATGATAAGATGGGAAAGAAGGGGGAAGCTGGGGAAGAGTGAGGATAGTTATGCCTCCTCCTGAGGGCCAGGGTCACAGCAAAACCGGTGGATCCTTCCTGCCCATCCGTCAGCCCCTCTGAGAAGGTGTAACCCCTGGGCAGGGGTGTGTGTGTGCGTGCATGTGCGCACAGGCGAGCAGATGAACACACTTGCAGAGCAGGTATGGGGGCACCAGGCCAGCCCCGGCCCCTCTGCAGGTTCAGCCCCTCTGGCCAATCTTCACGTCTGCCCCCAGGGCAGAGCAGGCTGGGCAGGGGGCTCAGGGCTGTGGCATGGTCCGGTCCGGGGAGGGCACCCAGGGGGCAATCGATATGCCTGGGCCAGGGGACGGTTCTCTGGAGAAACTGAGTGAGGCTGAAGAAGAGAGTTTGGTTTGCGGATGCATTCCAGGCTGAGAAGGGACCGCGTGACCGGGAGGCTTTGAACCCAGGAGGGGAATGGCCTGTCCTGGGGAATGGCCTGCTAGCCAGAGACTTGGGCTGTGTCCTTCCTCAGACAGCCAGGGAAAGCCCTGGAAAAACACTTTAATGTGTGGCCGCCGTGTTGGGAGGAAGGGGAAAGACGCGGGTCGTGTGTGCAGAGCTGTGTGGTCAGGCCCTCCTCTCGGGACCTGGTCTCGGGGATTGATCAGGCCTATTAGACACGTTCAGTTTGTCTTCCACAGGAGGCAGGGAGGCTCTCAAAGTCACTTACATCCTTACCCATTTGCATCTGAGTGTGGAACCACTGTAGCCTTGGAAAGCCCTCAGCTGTGGAAGAGTTGTGACCCGCAAAGTCTCCCTGGTGGGCCTGCCCTCTCTCCAGCTTGTGATGGCCCTTCTCGCCCCCCAGGCCTCTCTTCTTATCAGACAAACCTCTCTGCCCTCACGTGTCGCCAGGCGATACACTGCCCACCACAAACTGTGAGTCCAAAGCCTGTTTCTATTGTAGTTGTATTACCTACACTCTCACCCTAATGCCCCGTCAGACTTCATGGCTGAAGCACCACCTTCCTTCTGTCCTTTGAGGGCATCTGTCCATCGTGAGAGTCTTCAGAGAAAGAAATCCTTTAACGGCTGAGGAGCCTGGGGAAGAGGAGGGTTCTGGCAGATTGAGGTGGACAGACATTGCTCTGTTGAGCTCATTCTTCACGTTTGTCCAGCTAGTGACATTCTACAGAACCCCTGGGTGCTCAGTCCTGTGCCTGATCCACTGGGAGGGACACAGGGAACCAGGGGCGAGGGCCGTGTCCTCGGGCAGTGCAGTCTCCTTGGGGAGGCAGGAGCTGCAGATGGAAAGCAGCAAAGAACCAGACACAAACTGTGTCTCTGAAACCGAATATGCCTGCCGGGTGCTTGGGCTGGGCTTGGGAAATCAGAGAAGGCTTCTTGGAGGAGGAAGAGGAGGAAGACAAATAATCAAGGCAACTTACACCTCTTTGGATGAGCTCAGCGTAAATCAAGCAGGCAGCAGAGATCAGCACATCAGCATCAAGGTCAATGAGGTTGTTGCAGGCCTGTGCAGAGAGAGGAAGCTGGGACGAAGCAGGTCTCCTTGGGCACAGGCGACTGCCTCCCGCTTCAAGGGACAAGGCGGCTGCCCATGGCAGTCACTGGGCCACCTGATCTCTCTCCAACCAGCCCAGCACAGTGCCTGATATTTCACCACTGGAACTTGATATATGGGGGAGATGGTAAATGTAGCTTTCCTGCTGGGCTCTAGGGAGTACCAGGGTTCCACTGAGTGATGCACGGGCTTCTAAGAAGGGCCCGTTTTATAATCGGGCTGCCACCCTAGAGCGTGTTGAACATAGACCTCAGCTGCTTTTTTGAAATGCCAGAAAACTCTCTGTCTTTTGCCGCAGGAGGACCCTAGGGCTAAGGGATTAACTGTGAGGCTGCGAGCGCAGACAGTAAGAGGCATTCAAGGCCTCGGGTTCTTCCTGTGCTAAACAGGGGTGCTGGGGATGGTTATGTCCCACTGCATCAGGCTTGTCGTGAGGCTTAAATGAGCTGCTCTACAGAAGCACCAGCGCAGTGCTCAGGACATCACAGATTCCCGCTAGGGTCGAAGGGCTGGCCTGGCCCCAGGGCAGGTGCGCTCACCAGGATGATGTCATCCCTGGTCATGCTCTCCTGTAGCACCTGCTCGCGCACCATCTGCAGCATGCTGTAGGCCACCAGCACCTGGAAGTTCCTGCAGGGCTTCCCCGTCAGCAGAACCTGCAGGTGGCCGGTGAGTGTCAGCCTGGGCCCCGCAGCCGAAGACCGCAGCCGACCCGAGGATGGTGACCCACCCGCTGACTAGGCACCCGCCCAGGGTCAGCGGTTCCTGGGCCCCACTACTGACTCCCTCATTCGCTCAAGTGCTACCTCGGGGGTCCTGAAGCTACTGCGGGCTTGGAGAAAAAGGCTTCAGGGAATTCATTAGCTAGGGGGAAGGAAGAGGAGGAGAGAATGAGAGAGAGAAGGAGGGGAAGAGGAAGGGAGGGAGGGAGGGAGGGAGGGAGGAGAGGGTGAGGGAATGACCCAGTGACTGTAGCATTTGAGTGGAGCTTTGGCAAAGCAACGGTTGTTGAGAGGTCAACGATCCAGGGGTGTCAGCAGAGGTCTGGGGGTGCCCATGGACTTGGGCATGGAGACCAGCAGGCCGTGAGGGAGGGATAAGGCAGGTGGGAGTTGACTCGGGGGGCACTGAATGCCAGGCTGAGGACTGGGCTGGGCAGGGCAGAAAGTGGGTGGTGGGTCCGTTCCCAGCGAGCTTCATCTGCTGATGGCCCAAGGGCCTGGGAGGAAAGAACTGCACCTTTGACCTGCCCTTTGGTGGGGGGGCCCTCCTTCTCCAGGAGTGAGGGGCCAGTAGGGAAACAGCACTCGGAGGGGAAGGCAGAGGAAGGGGCAGCTGGGGAAGCAGAGCAGAGGGCGGCCCACCTGGGCAGGTGGTGGGAAAGCAGGCCAGGCTCCCCCTGCCCCCAACACGGGCCAGAGGCCCCTCCTTTCACCCTGACTGCCCTCCAGGAGGTGCTTGTGGGCCTGGAGGAACAGATGGACCAGCTGATGTCCTAGCCTCCTCCCACGAGGCGGGAGCAGGGTCGCTGGCCCAGTAAACCCCAAGCTGCCGAAGTCCAACCCGGGCCAGCAATAAAGGGGAGGCGAGGGAAAGGGCTGCCCGCTGCATGCTGGAGGGGTGGGGCCTAGCCCTTCAGTCCAAGGAGGCCTCACCTCCCACAGCCTCCAGACATCTTCGAAGGACTTGAAGGCACGCTGGAAGCAGAAGCAGAACCAGGGGAAGAGGGACCGCACGGTCCCGGCACCCTTCCCTCCTGTGCAGAAGAGACAAGGGCGTCAGCCCAGAGGCCGTGGTCGGAGAACACAGGGACAGCTCACGTGACAGAGCAAAGGCACACAGAGGGCGAGACGACAGCACGCCAACACGCTGGGGAAGTACGAAATGCCTGGCCCTCACTATTCCAACCGCCTTTGGAGACTGTTTGGGGTGAATTTTCAACTGTCCGGATGCCAACGCCATCCGGGTGAACCGTGCTTCCAGGGCCTGGAGGGAAGACCAAATGACCCGCTCCCGCCCACCATGAGTGGGCCTGGCTGCCTGGGGCTGGGTCCTGGTGCCCCCTCATGCCTGCCCTGGTTGGGGGGGGGGGGCGATGTACTGTTGCAGGAGGCGGAGGGTCCACTCACTTAGGTGCTCAGCAAACACGGGGTCCAAGAAGTCGATCAGGTCGTTGAGCATGTCTAGGTTCTTGCCCACTCCGATGTTGATGACACAGCTGTGCTCCTGAGAAAGATGGGTGGGAGGGAGGGAAATGGCACCTCTCTCTGTGTGGGGGCACCGGAAGAGCCAGACCTGCTTCACAGCATCTTGGTTCTGGAGGCCCCGCGCGGGGCTGGCTCCAGGCTGGGCTCATGCCTCTGGATGAGCCTGGATGCCTGGGTCTGGGCGTGTCTATGTGATCTGTGTCTGTAGGGGTGTTTGCACATGTGGATGCACCTGTGTGTGTGTGGTGGGGATGCAGGGATGTTCCAGATGTGGCTCACGTGCAACGCATCCAGTTCTGCCTCTACACACATGCTGTGGGTCAGAACCAATTGGGACAAGGAAAGAGCAGTGAGCACTTTGCTGCAGGGATGGAGAGAGGGGTGAGGGTAGATGCTGAGCAGCCTCTCACAGATCATAAGGAAAGGTTTTCCAGGGAGGATGTTCCAGGGAGCAGCAACTTTAAAAGCCCTCAACGTGGTCATTGTGGGGGTACATCTGGGGAGTACCGAGTCTCCTGCTGTGCCTGAAGTGCAGGGCGTGTGAAGGGGGCAGCGAGAGACAAGGCCAAAGATCGTCCTTGACTGCCTGGCCAAGGTTATTGGACTTTATTCTGGAGGCGATGGGGAGCCATGGAGGATTTGTGGGAGCAGAGCCATGTTTGGGGAGGGAAATGCCAGGAGAGGAAGCCTTCACCGGGACTGGCCAGTTACACTCTTTCAAGGTTTGGGGAGAGCTGGACCCAGAGCACCTTTCTAGCCCTCTCCTCAACTCCAATGCCTACAACACACACAGCACTGTCCCCCAAAACCTCACTGGTGTTAGTGTTGCCTGTCCAGGCTCCTCTGGGACCCTGAGGGCTGTTTCAGGGCTGAAGGAAACGGCCGGGCTGCCAATGCCTGCCTGACCTGGTTATTTGGGCAGTGGTAGGGAGGTTGTCCCTGAACTCAGGCCCAGCCCTCACCATTTTCTGCAGGAAGAACTGGAAAAGCCAGAAGGTCTCATGGTCATGTTCCACCATCAGCTGGAAAAGCATCACCATCTCGTGGAAACCCTGTTGATACTCTGGGGTGGAGGGGGAGGGCAGTGAGGAGGGGCTGGGTGGGGGCAGGGAAGGGATTCCAGGAAGGAACTGAGAAAACGGGGCTGCGGGGAGGCCCAGCCCCGTGGCCCACCTGCCTGGGTATTACAGACATAACTCAGGAGCAGGATTTTCTCCAGTCTCTTCTTGTCGATAAGGACGTTGCCTAGGTGGTCTTTGTCGTGGAGTTTCTGAATGTCATATGCTAGGTTGCGGAAAAGAGACAGGTAGGGGGCACCAGATCACCTCCAGCAGGGGGGCCATGAATGAGTTCGTTCCCCCAAAGGGTAAGACCCAAGGCACCCTGGGGAGGGGGCTGTGAAAAGTACATCGGCCTACATCTGCCCATGAGGCTCTACCCCTCACCATACCCTGAGCTGTTTGGCCGCGTCCCCACCTCCAAATCTTTGACGAAGCTGTACCCTCTGCCAGGAATGTCCCCCCATCCCACCCCACCGGTTCTGTCCAACTGAAATCCAGCCAGTTCAAGGCCCAAAGGGGAGAGATGAAGGCGAAGCGGCAGGAATAGGAATCACCCCGGGGGGAAAATGGTGCTGGGCATCTAGGGGCCCCCAGCAGAGATGGGGGATGGGCTAACCGAGGTTTAGCCAGCAAAATTCCCTGTGGAGGCAGCTCCCAGGAACCAGGGGACCCATCGGCCCCTGGACATGACTGAGGAGGGGGCAGGCATGGCTTCAAGCCCTCCCCTCCACCCCGCCCTGCCCACCCAACTCCGCTCACCAATGTTCTTCCGAGTCTCCATAAAGTTCCGGTGCAGGTTTTCCAGAAGGGGCTGAATCTTTTCATACATCTCGCATAAGGCCTCGTAGTTCTTCCTGTGAAGACAGAACTGAGGCTGCAAGAGGCAGCCTCCCCCTCCTGGCAAATCAAGGGAACTCTGCGGAGCACTCTCCAGGAGGCTGCACCCTCTCCCTGTGATGTCCCCTCTCATCCCCACCGGTGCCAGCCCTAACCACACTCTAATGTGCTCCTGGAGGGCAGCATGGAGGCAGGTTCAATCTTGTGGCTCTCGGGTCCCATGGCTGCTCCTGAATCCTGGCTCCACAAATTAATAACTGGGTGTTTGCAACTAGGGTCAGGCCTTGTGGACATCACTATACCTAAGCCTCAGTTTCCTCCTCTGTAGAATGGGGAGAATACTGGCACTTCCGCCTTAGAATAGAATGTGCTTAGGGCACGTAGGAGGCTGAACGGCGGCCCTCCAAAAGATATGTCTACGCCTTAGCCACCGAAACTTGTGCTTGTGAACTTATTTTTAAAAGGGCCTTTGCAGATGTAATTAAGGATCTCGAGATGAGATCAATCTAGATTATCCAGGTAGACCCTAAATCCAATGACGAGCGTCCTTCCAAGGACACACAGAAACACACAAAGGAGAGACAGAGAGAAGGCGAGTAGGCCATGCGACCATGGAGGCAGAGACTGGAAGAACACCCAGAGTCAGCAGGAGGAGGCATGGAAGGGTTGTCCCCTGGAGACATCAGGGAACGTGGCTGTGCTGGCACCTTGCTTTTGGGCCTCCGACCTCTGGAACCGAGAAAATACATTTCTGCTGTTGCAAAGCCCCCGGTTTGTGGTGCCTTGTTTCAGCAGCCTCATGAAACTAATACGGGCCTTGTCAGGGCTCTCAGGAATAGAGCATTCCAGGCGGACCCTCAGTTCCCCTACGGCCCTGGATCATTCTCCACTGGCCTCTTGTGCGTGAATCTTCAGCTCAGAGAGGCGCACAGGCTCTAGGGAAGGATGGGATGGGATGGTGGCGGGCCAGAGGAGTTGCTGGAATGAAGCCCATGCAGGGCAGTGTGTGGGCTGCTATATGGAGCTGGGTGGGAATGTGCTGGCACCTCCCGTGTTCAGGCCCTGGGTCGGGAGCACGTGGGGGTTTTGTCTCTCAGGATAAGAAATCCATCGGAGGGAAGAAGACTGAACTTGCCAGGCTGGGGTGGGCACTCCACCCCACCTGCACTGCCATCCACCCTCCCCTGAGAGGATCTGGAATGTTCTACCTCCTTGCGCTGTCCACCGTGAGCCGCTCATCCTGGGAACTCTGCCATGAGTAGTAGCCCGTGAGGAACTTCCAGGCTTCTGTCCTCACGAAGGGGTGTAGACCCTGAGGTGTGGGTGAGAGGTGAGAGGTCACAGGCCCTTGGGGCGCCTGCTGAAAGGGCCTCTCCAAACACCTGCCTGCCCTCTTGCCCACCCATGCCCCCCAGTGCCAGGGCAAGGCCTTGGGGATTGTACCCTTTCCAGGATGTTAACACAAATGGAGTCTCGTGATTTGGCCAACAGACCGTTCTCATCAAAGAAGGCATCCCATTCCGTCTTGTCAATGGGTGGTTTTCTCTTCACCTGGCAAGGACAATCACTTCAGCCTTCGTTAAGAAGCTTTGGCTTTTCTTTTAAGTGTGCTCTTTTTCCTTTCTGTTAATGTTTTATTTATTTCTGAGAGCGTGTAAGCAGGGAAGGGGCAAAGAGAGGGGGACAGAGGATCTGAAGCGGGCTCTGTACTAACAGCAGCGAGCCCAAGGTGGGGCTCAAACTCACGAACCATGAGATCATGACCCGAGCCGAAGTCGGATGCTCAAACAACTGAGCCAGCCAAGTGCCCCTAAGTGTGCTTTTTTCAATGTTATACTCTGGAGTTTGTAATATGAGTCAAGTTCCCAGTCTCTGACTCACTTCTGGAAATCTATCCTGAAGAAATTACTGCAAAGTTATACAAAAATGCTGAAAGCACAATAATTTTCATTGCACATTACTTACCAAAATGAAAAACGCACGTGCTCTAAACATTATGCAATAAGGGAATAGTTAAATAAACTATAGTTTATATACTCAATGGAATATTGTGAGGCATAAAAAAATGATGCTGACAGGGAATGAATAATAATCTGGAAAAATTTAAATGTTAACAGAAAAAAGCAAAATACAAAATTACACATTCCCTATCTATCCTCTATCTTCTCTATGTGCTATCCTCCTTGTATAACTATGTCATATATTATAAAAACTACACCTCATATACTCTAATATAGAGTGAATTAACATGATTAAGATTCTGGCAGAAAAAAAACTGAAAAGAAAGCCCCCACCAATACCAAAAATCCCCACTAAAAGCAAGAGTGATTGTCTTCGAGAAATAGGATTCTACATAATTTTTTCCTTTTTCTTGTATTTTTGAACTTTTCTGCAATAATGTCTACTGCTTTGATAATGGAAAAATATAAAATAAGCACAAATTAAACACACCCATGGGCTCCATTTTGCCTTTCTTGGAAGAGTAAAACAATTCATCATAAGGAGTGGTTTCTGGTTTACATAAGAGATGTGTGTGTGTGTGTGGTAATTATTATTGATGATGATGATATTATTTCATTTAAATATGCTGTGATATTTGTTATATGTATATGTGTGTGTGTGCGCGTGTGTGTGTCTCAAATGATAATGATGGGGAAAAGAGTGTGCTGCATGCAAAGTAATTAAAAATGCTCATGAGACAGTAACCAGGAGGTAAGAGCTCCTCCTTTGGAGGCTCCCTATTGAAAGCGTGTCTTCTGCCTGCCACCTGCAGACATGGTGAGGGAGCATATGCTAATGGACAGAGCTTGGCAGGTGACTAGACTTGCCTGATATATACACTCCCAACTTCCTGAGGCACACCTGAAGACTTATGCATGTGAAGCTCAAATTCAGGAGCTTTGCATATGCCTGAGTCACCTGAGGTCTTCACCAGCTATACGGAGTTCTGACTCAGAAAGGTCCTGGGTGTTAGGGCCAAATTGATGCATTTCCTAACTCCCAAGCCCCCAGGAGATTTCTTTTTTTTTTTAATTTTTTTTTTAACATTTATTTATTTTTGAGACAGAGACAGAGCATGAACGGGGGAGGGTCAGAGAGAGGGAGACACAGAATCAGAAACAGGCTCCAGGCTCCGAGCTGTCAGCACAGAGCCTTGCAGCGGGGCTCGAACTCATGGACCGCGAGATCATGACCTGAGCCAAAGTCGGAAGCTTGAGCCAAAGTTGGAAGCTTAACCGACTGAGCCATGCAGGCGCCCCGCCCCCAGGAGATTTCTGATGCTACTGGTCCTCTGATCACAAGAGAGAGGCAAGCTATTAGAAATCCCTTTAGCACTGGAAATGAAACAATAAGAGCCCACAGGTCCAGATTTGGGATAATTTCTACCGACTCCACATTCGATAGGGATGGATTGAGCACCTTTTTAACTCAAACATGCTCTGTCTTCTGAACCAAAATAGGACATGTGGGCCCAAGAAGATATCAGAAAAATCCCACCCTCATTGGAGATGGCCTAACCTTGGGGAGCGGGGTCTGTCCTGATGTCATGTCCCAAGTGCACAGACACTGTTGTCTGGGCAGACCAAAGCCAGGGTTCCATCCCTCCAACTGCCATCATGTTCTCCAAACCTGTACTCAGACTGCAACACTCAGCATGAACTGTGGCAGGAAGCAGGAGGGAATAGGCAAAGTTGGGCTGTGTCCTGGGATCCTTAATTATAAAAAGGAATGCATGGACTTTAGCAATGCATTTCCATATAAATCTTAGTCAACTTGTCAATTTCTACAGTAAAGACAGCTATGATTTTGATGGGGATTGCGCTGAATTTAAAGGTCAATTTGGGGAGCAATGATAATAATATTGAGCTTTCTGATCCATGAACATGGTATATTTCTTCGTCTATTAAGATCTTCTTTAATGTCTCTAAGCATTGTTTCGTAATTTTCGGTATATAGGTTATTCATATATTTTGTCAGATTTATCCCTAACTATTTTGGTTTGGGGGGGATGTTATTTTAAAAGTTGGTGTTTTTAAACTTCCCAACTATTCATTGCTATATATAGAAATACAATGGATTTTTGCATATTGATCTTGTATTCTGCCCCCTTATTAGTCCTAGTGGCTTTTGTGGGATTCCATGGGATTTATTACAGAGGTCAACAATCAGTAAACTACAACCCATGGACCAAATCTGGCCTGCAACCTATTTTGTTTTTTTTTTAAATAAAGCTTTATTGGCACACAGTCATGCCCATTCATTCATGTATTTTCTGTGGCTGCTTTATGCTAAAATAGCAGAGTTAAGTAGTTGTGACAGAAACATTTGATACACAAAGACTAACATACTTACTATCTAGACCTCTGCAGAAAAAGTTTACCAGCCCTGATATAGACAAATTTCTTCTCTTATAATTTCGTTGATTTTGGTACCAGGGTAATGTTGGGTTCATAGACTGAGCAGGGATGTATTCTCACTTAAAAACTTTTTAGAATAGTTTGGATAGAATTGATATTATTTCTTTCTTCAATATTTGGTATAACTTACCCATGAAGCCATCTAGGCCTAGGGTATTTTTTTGTAGGAAGATTTTTAACTATAAATTTAATTTTTTTATTAGATTGAAGGATAGAGTCAGAAGAGTTTGTTTTATTTTTTACTTAAAAAATTAGAGATTTATAGGAACAAGGCATTTCCCTTCTAATCCCCTTTAAAAATAAAAGTAAATAATACAGGAAACAACAAGGAATTAAGAAAAGCATAAACGTAAAAAATGATACAAACCCAAAGAAATCAATTATGAAAATAAATGCATTAAATTCTCTGGTTAGTTGTAAACATCTACGAAGCATTGATGAGGTGCCAGGCACTGTTCTAAGCACTTTATATTTATCACTTAATCTTTGCAACCACCCGTGAGGTAGGTGTGGTTATTACACTGTTTTACAGATCAGGGAATTGAGGCTGGAGGAGGGTTGGTTAGTATATCTGAAGTCATACAGTAAATATCAGGGCTGAGATTTGAACCCAGAGCTGTTTGGTGCAAGAATCAGGGAGTTTAACCCCAATCCCATGCTACCAGGGAGAGTAAAAAGCAAGGATTTTCCATTTGAATGGAAAATACATACCTGATACCTGATACAAGCTGTTAACAAAAGGCATACCTTAAAATCTAATGTCATAGAAAGATTAAAAAATAAATGATGAACAAAGATATGAAAAAAGGGTCAAATGCGATGAAAGGGTGGCAAAGTAAGTAATGTGCACAGAAACCATAATAAGAGGTATGGCATCAGCACAATAAGGCAGAGATAATTAGAAATGTCACAAGAAGGTGTTTGCCGAGTGCTCAGTGAATTTATGTTACTAAACCTCTACCTGCAACAATTGGCCATCCTCCTACTTTGCCATGGCTGAATTTGCTTACAAAAAGCCACTGACTTGTGGGGTGCCTGGGCGGCTCAGTCAGGTGAGTGTCCAACTCTTGATTTTGGCTCAGGCCATGATCCTAGGGTTGTGGGATTGAGCCCTGCATAGGTCTCCATGCTGAGCACGGAGCCTGCTTAAGATTCTCTCTCTCTCTCTCTCTCTCTCTCTCTCTCTAGCCCCTCTCCCCCGCCCTCACTCTCTCATTAAAAAAAGAAAAAAGAAAAGAAAAAGTCACTGACTTCTCCTTCCAGGAAGCTCAATTTCTCTATGTCCACCACTTCTGTGGGCAAAACTTAAACAAACTACAGGCCAACCACAAGAACATCTAAGACATTTGCTAGCAAGCCAAGGACAAACACAAGAAGCTTGTTGACCTGCAGAGGCCTAAAGGGAAAATTTCCACACAGAGGGCCCCTCCCTCTCTTCTCCAGTATATTCACACCACCTGTCTATGCCGGAAATCAGAGACCAGAATCTGTATCTGGGGTCCTTCGAAGTATTAGAGACTGTCAACTCAATAATCTCTCAAATCCGTCTTCCTACTCCCACATTCGCCCATTCCCGGCTCCACTTACCAGTAACGCCCTGCACCACCATCTGGGTACAATTACCTGGTGATCCAGGAGGGGAGATACATAGGCCATGAGGTGCTGGATACCCTTTAGCTCTGCAGTAGCTTTTTTTCCTGGTCTCTTAGGAAGAGGACTGCTAGACGGAGCCGTTGTGAAAATCTCCCACCTCCATGGTGTGCTTAAGTAGGTTAAAACTCCCCACCAGCAAACCTGGGGACACCTTGGCCACGTTTCCTCTAGAGAGGGGGGCTGGAAGTAGGAGTCCTAAGTGGCTCAGTTTCTCTAACATCCTCCTCCTGCCGGAGACCCGGGCTGTAGGCGTACATCTCCCCACCCTCCTTCTATTCTGCTTCATTGGGTTGAAGATTTTCTCTAGCATTCTTACAAAATAGGAAAGCTACTGGAGGGTAAAGCAAACTTTCCAGGAGGGTTCCTGATGCCATGTTGCTCTGAAAACTCATAGGGACAGAGCCCCCAGTAGGCCTCGGAAGGGTCACAGGCTACTTATGGTTCCCAGCCGCTTCCACTCCAGTTCCCTTGAGGGACAAGACACGCTCTCACCAGTAAGAGTGGCTCATCATGTCAGTGATTCTCACCCAGGGGAGAGCAGGGTGGCCCAAGGAGGGAAGGAATGTTAAAATTGGGGTGGGGGGAAGCATATATGCAACTTGAAAGTTACCTGGGTGATTATTAGCAACCCAGGTGTGGGGGTGTATCATCCATATAGCAGAGCGATTAAATGAACGGTTTAAAATAGTGGTTCTCAAAGTTAGCTCCGGATCATACTCCCCCAGAGTGCTTGTCAAAACACAGATCATTGGCCCTCACCTCCAGAGTTTTTGGTTCAGGTCACCTGGGGATCAAGAGTCTGCATTTCTTACAAGTTCCCCATTGATGCTGATGCTGCAGTTCTGGGCACCACATTTGGAGAGTCACCGATGTAGAATGCCACCTCTGCCACTTAACAGTGTGACTTTACACAACAGTGTGACTTTAGGCAAGTTGCTTAGTCTCTGTGCTGCAACTTTTTCATAAAATGAAGACAATAGCATCCTATACCTCATATATGGTTATGGTGAGAATAAGGGACTCTAAGTAAAGCATTTAGAACAGCCATTGTACATAATAAAGGCTATGTGACAGTTTGTTATTTTATTATTATCATCACTCTCTACATTCAGAGAAATGAATAGAGATATAAAGAAAATCCAAATCAAGACCTGGTAGTAATCTGCAATAAAGCAATAACATTTAAAACTCAGGGAGAGACCGATATTACCCTATGTGTTAGCTAACTAGAATTTAAAACAAAAACTTGGAACAAAAAAAGGAATATAAAAAAATAAAATACAACTCAGGGAGAAAGGTGCCCATTTTGCAGTTCTGCTTTTTTTAATGTGTCATTTTCTTAATCCGTATGATTAATGAAACTCGAGATTGGTTAAGGTCATTATAATCAGTTATTATGATTTTAAAAAATACACTGTGTGGAAAATTTTTATGACTGAGGCTGCCTTTTAATGAATAGATACATTTTATTAAGTGGACTTGAAACCACCTACTAACAGAAGCATTACTGCCACCTGGTGGCAGCATACCAAAATTGTTGGCAAAAGCGCCAAGGAAAATTTATCAGCATCTACAAGTTTGTACTTGCAAACCCAAAACTCATTAAAGTTAGAATATCACATACAGGGAAAGGTAACTGGCTTAGAGAGAAGGGTGAAAGGGAGAAAGACGACCTGTGTTTTTCAGTCCTGTGGTTAGTGCTGATGTGAGATCAAGGTACAGCCTACCCTGTTCAACCTTCCAGGCCAGCTCAGGGTTCTAGTCCTACCCACCCAGCAGGGGAAAGTGGCCCTAATGCAAACCAGAAGTTGGGGAGGGAGGGACTTGGAGTTGATGAAGAACACGCACCAGGATGAAGGAGGCTGACCACCTGGCAGAGAGGCTGTTTTCAGGAGAGAGGGTGGTCATGGCCCCTGTGGTCCGGCTTCAAAGCAGCTTTTGACCAGAGCTCACTTGGAGCCCTAACTGATGCAGGGGAAGGCGGTCTTCTTTTGGGGGGATGAGTTGCATTCCCAGAGGGAACTGGGCCCTTCCTTGACACCTGAACAGAACCAGCCAGCATGTGTCACAAGGCCCCTGGAACCCTCATCACAGTGACCTTGGAACCTGGGAGCACTCAGCCTCAGAAGTAAGGCACATCCAGGAACTAAGATGACCAGTCAGCCCGAGAAATCACAGGACACACAGGATGTGTGGAGGTTGGGGTCACAGGACGCGCAGACCAATGTGCTGGGCAGGTCAGGGAAGGCTTCCTAGGAGAGGTGGGCCAGGAAGCCTTTCTCCCTGTCTCTGGCTGTCCCTCCTCTGGGTTCCCTTCCCTTGTTATCCCACAGATCAGTACCCAAACCCGGATAACACCCAGAATCTGAGCTTCAGGTTTCTTGCATGTCAATTCCAGAGATTCAGAATCAGCGGTCTGGGTGGGGGACCTGGCGTACTGTGTTTTGAAAAACTCCCTGGTGACTCAGAGTCAGAATTTGAATGGTAGCTTCTGGGGATAGAGACCGGTTTTTCCTATCGTTATATCCAGCGCACTTCAGACAGGGGCCTGCGCGACTGAATGAAGGATTTAATTGAATGGAAGAACGAATGGATCTCTCTTAGATCTCGTCTCCTTGTCCTCTCTGAAGGCATCGCAGAGGTTTCTGTTCCATGTCTTCTCTCCCTTCCAACCCTGGGTTCCTCAGGCCAGGGTCAAGGTCGGATTTCCTTTGTGCTTTCCTCCCAGTCCAATCTCTGCTGCCTGGCACTTGGCAGGTTCTCTGTATTTGAATGAATCTGAGGAGTTGGCTCCTCTCGGCTCCAGCATCACTATTTCTCGACCTTAAGCATGGCTACCCGGGTCCAGGCCATTAAAGGCATCTGGCCCTAAGGCATCCATAGCCATTAGGAGGTAGCAGTAATTAGACCAACTAAATTGGAATCGGGAGCTGGGAGATGGAATTCGGACTCTGACCTTAAATTTGGATGTCCCTCCCCCCCTCCTGAGCCATGGGTCCCCCAGCCACGAAATCAGAACACAGTCAACCTCTGGCTCTCACATCCTTATTAGCATAATGAATCGGTAGCCACGCAGGAGTCTTCGAGTCGAGTGGACACAATTCGCTGTCTCATTTACGGTTACTGTTCTGCTAGCTTGTGGCACCACGGGGGTCCTTTGAAATCAAACACCTTATTCTCTGCCTCCCTCCACCACGCCAGGCCAGCCCAGCAAAGCATTATAGCCTCTTCCCCTTAATCTGCTGCCCCCAGGTCTTCATGGAGGAGGAGGTGGGCAGCTTTGAGCAGGCAAGGCGTGGAATGAGGGTGAGGCAGCCTCCCATGGCCGGGCGCCTCCATTCTGACGCCTGCAAGAAGCTTCCAAAGCTAACGTCCAGAGCAGGAGGCATGGCGTGAGCATTACTCACCATTTGGGATCATCTATGCCTCTGCTGCTCCACATTAATGATGTCGACAACTGAGAAGCAACTGCCGTCTTCCCCGAAGCTCGGGATCTGGCAGGGGGTTGGAAAAGCTGTGCGCTAAATCCGACGTGGTTTCTAAAACGAACGTGATGGCCATAGATCATCTACTGAACTTCCCTTCACCTCTGGCTCCCCATCTGTAAATTGTAGGTAATAACCCTTGCCCAAATTAGCCCGGATAGTTTGGTCATATTACAAAAGCCTCAGAACAACCACGTGGAGGCTTAATATTCAAATGGAACTGCAGGACACTGAGCTGAAGCAGGAAGGGTTTTTGATCCCTTGGACTCTTTTTGCTGATACTTACAAGGGATTTACAAGTGTCAATCTCTTTTCTCCAGGGCTGAACGGTTCCTTTCCGTGTCCATAATCCCCCAAATTCTTTAGATTCCCCTGTATCGCTTTTTCTCTTATGCATTTCCCCCCCTCCTTGATGGGAGCCCAGTTTTTCTGCTTTACATTTCTGTACTTGGGGGTTCTTCAGGGCACAAGAATCCCAGGCTTTTCAAATATTATTCTTGGTACTGGAGTATGGGCCAAGGACGGAGAGAGCTAGAATTTGCATTAAAGTAGTCCTGGGAGGGAGCAAACCTTGCAGCCCATCTTTTCTCCAGAGGATCTGGTTGTCCACTGGCTGATGGGTGTAGCGGTGAGGCAGGAGGGTGGTGGTGTGGCTTGGAAGGTGCCGAGGGAAGACCCTCTCATCCTCAGAAGTGCAGGGCTCATGCAGTAAGAAAGCCCATGGGCTTTGGTGCCAGAAAAACCCAGGTTCAATTCCTGACCATGCTGCCCAACCAACCACGTGATCTTGGTCCCACCTAGGGGAAAGCCATGAAGTCTTTCCACTTCCGCCTGGCCACTCAGGAGGGGGCTCTGGGCCTGGGACACTTCCTTACCAAGAGATAGGGAGTCCTCACAGCCTTGCTGGATTTATCGCCTCCTGCGGGGACGCCTGCCTCCGTTCCAGATTCAACATGCGCGCTTCTGTTCTGCTTAAGTGTGTGCGTCACATGGCGCCTGGCCAATCCCACTGCCGTATCTCTTCCCATCCGGGAGGGAATGGGGTCCTTTGTGGCATGAGAGGGGTGCGCGTAGATCAGAGCCCTGTGTCTGCTTGTGGGACGAGACCCGCTGGCCATGGCGGACCAACGCCCACTGCTGAAGTTGATCCTGATCTATCTCTTTATGTGAGCAAAGCCTTGTTCCCTCCAGCTCCTGTGTGAGTAGTGTCTTTCCTGGTGATGCTGACCCCTGCAAGCCATGAGTGGGTTGACATGTCGAGATGCTGCGCCTGGAGGCAGGCACTGCTGGGCTACTTGCTCTCCTCCATGCGGCAGGACTCCTCCCCCAAGGGTAGACACCATCTCTTACCCGTCTGAGTGGGGGGAGGGCAGGGGAGGGGAGAGGTGTGATAATACCTCACGGAACTGAAGGGTAGGTGAAGCGATGTGCATGAAGAGCCTGGCCCGGGCCTGGAGCACAGGGCCACCCAGTGCATGGCAGTTATTGTTAACCTCAGCATCACCATTTTCGTTACTGATGCCCAGGACGTGTCCATACAAATTTCTGTGGACTAGACTTGAATCAAGTGCTGCCTGCTTCCGTGAGGCTTGTAGTAATATCAGTGTGAAGGTTCAAAGATCCCACGAGCCAGTTTCTGTTTCTCTGCCTTTCTCCGGGAGCCCAAGGACCAGGATTACCATAAAAGTGGGTTGAGGCCAGTATTAGAAATTAAGTTCCCTTAAGCTCCTTAGGTCAGTGCAATACAACACAACTCAATGACATGCAGTGTGACAGTGTCCCTGCAACAACTACCCATTCGCCCCTTCAAAGGACACCTACCCATGACTGTCGAAGTCTGGGACACGCTAGTTCTTGGAATAAATCACACACATTTTGATTTTATTTCATTCCAAAGTGCCAGCGATCTTTTATGCTAAAGCGGTATTTTTCTCTTTGCCCCTCATTGTGAGGAACCAGGATAAGTTTAGATTTCCCACAGCAGGTTTCCTGCCCTCGCCCCCATGGAGCACGGTATTTCTGACAATGCCGGAGACAGCTGCACATCACGTGTCACTAATATGAGGGAAGTGGGGAACGGGGAGCCGGGGACGCAGATGGCTGTCTTCCGAGCACTGTGGTAAGCTGGAATCCCCCAGAGAAATAGCCAGCCACCCCGAAGTCCCCTGAGCTTTTGGAGGGCTTAAGGGTTATCTGCTGCATGTTGGGTCATTTTTAAAAAAAATGTTTAATGTTTGTTTATGTCTGAGGGAGAGAGAGACAGCAAGCAGGGGAGGCACAGAGAGAGAGGGAGACACAGAATCCGAAGCAGGCTCCAGGCTCTGAGCTGTCAGCACGGAGCCCGATGCGGGGCTCAAACCCACAGACCGAGAGATCATGACCTGAGCTGAAGTCAGACGCTTAACTGACTGAGCCACCCAGGTGCCCCTGCACGTTGGGTCGTTTTCAAGGTCTTGGGGAGCCCTCACTGGCTCCCCAGTCGGTTGAAGATGACACCTCTATTACCTCCCATCCAGCTGTCATGCACACCGGAAATAACCCACAGGAGCAACTGTGGCCAGAAGCCACCATAGTCAGCCAAAGAGGGAAACTCAGCCCTGGGCAGTAAGGCTGAGACCCAGTGCACTCCCTCCTGCTCTGAAGGAGCCTTGCCCCCTAGGGGTCCTCACCCTCATTCTCCCTGACTCCTGACCTCCAGCCCAGTCTCCTGGGGCACCATCAAGTACTTAGCTCTGACTCTCGCCAAGCCACGGCTGGGTCTTTTATGCTGTCATGTCCACTGATCATTTGGCCCCCACAAGTCCCCTGTTGTCCGCAGACATCTAGACCACAGGGCGCTTGCTCTCTACCTCTGGGAAAGAATTTTATGAATGTCAGTGCTGGCCTTGACCGTCCTGTGAGGGCAACAGAAGCCCAGAGAGGTTAAGTTACTTGCTTGGGATCACCCAGCGAGAAGTGAGGGAGCCAGCCACCTCCTAGCTCTACCCAGCTTTGCCACTAACCGGGCCGTCTCTGTGTCACTTTGGCAGAAGTGGGCATCTCTGCGCCCCTTGCTGGCTCAGGGGACTTGTGATCCCACAACCCAGCGGGGAGGAGGCGGTTTGCCATGGCTCCTTCTTCCAGATTCTAAACTAGTCATTCAGCCCCAAAACAATGCGCCGTGATGGTCGGGAGACGGAGTGCGGAAGTGTTACAATGCAGCTTATAAAGGTGATGGAAAGAGTGAGATGGAGAGGAAAAAGGACAAGAAATTCCAGCAAACTCCAGGGACTGCTAATGGAGAGAAATAATGTGGCTAATTACATCTCTGAAGGCCATCCGTTCCAAGATGAATTTTTAGTGCAAAAATAATGCATTTCCCCTGCTGCTTGAATCAGGGAGGGAAGGGACTGAGCGGTCTCCCAGTGCAGGCCAGAGCAGCTG